GAAACGATATTAAGATGATTACGTTTCGTAACGTTCCCATTCGAGACGTTTGCACGCGTCGAACAATTTCTGTCCATCGTATCGAGCGTGCAAAGTGAGAAAGGTAACGAGAAAGAATCCATTGTGAAGTTGAAGAGGTAGGCAAACGGAGAGCCGTGAGCCTCCTTCGCCTCGAAGAAGGAATCGAGAGGCGAGTACAAATAAGCGAGGTTTGCACCCCTCTGCGCGATAAAAGTCCGTAATTAACGATCGCCCAATCGTTCCGGATAATTAAACTACGACAATTAGTCGTAGACTTTCCATCGCCAATTACCATTTATCAATCCCTTCGGTTCTCGCGAAAGAATCCCGAGAAAACTGCGCCGTGTAGTTTTATACCGTGCAGCGTTGAGGCATTGAAAGTGCGATCCCGTAATTGATCTCTCGATTAATACAATTTCGAAACAAGTTTGCGCGATGGAGTCCCTTTTGAAAATAAAACATCGATTTGAACGGAAGGAGAGAGAGAGATGTTATAATATTATTAAAAATGTGGTTTATTCTGAATGTTAACAAAAAATTCTGAACTTGGATGAGAGAGCTGGGAGAGATTGGAAGAAAATCGGTTAGACAAATCCAGGCTGTGATATAATGATAAGCCATCCTAAATTTTAAAGGATTATTATCATCATAATTTGAAGGGAGAGACATTATTATTATTCGTCTACTTTGTCGTAATATTTCGAGAAACCTTACACCTTAATTACGCCGCGTTGCGTAACATCCTGGTCACCTCGTAACTTTACCCTTTGTTCATTTCCATCGCTTCGAGAACAAGCGCAAGTTGATTTCTACGAATTTCATCTATCCACCGCTTTGCCACGAACAAACTCGAATTCAACGACGTTGTTACAACGTGAAGTTAACAAAATGATGATAACAATAACAACAACAACAACAACAACAATAATAATAATAAAAAAAAATAAATAGAAGCGCGTGGTGATTAAAACGACGGGGGGAAGGGGATGCTGGGGCAACCTTTTCGAATTCACGCGTGGGAAGGGTGGAGAATTCGCACTCGACGCCAACAACTACACCCCTATTCATCCGTGGAACGAAAGACAGGGAGGGGTGCCACGTTTCTCCTTTCTCCCGCGGATCCTTACACGGAATCGCGCCGTCTAATTATCCACGATTGTGTTTCCGCGAGAAGTGGCGCCGCTCGCGGAAAATATTCGTTGTAACGAAGTTCCGTTGGTCACACCACCACCACCAGCGTGGAAAGAATCTCGATATCTAATTATGCGGTGGAGCGTGGCGGTGACCGTAGCGATCTCGTCGCCTCGTTCGAGATAATTAAACGTGGACAGAGGAGGAGGTTGCGCGCGTGGAAATGGAGGGAAACGAGAGAGAAACGAATTTAAAAGCGAGCACCGACGATTTGGTCGCGGGTTGAGTAATCACGGGTGGTGGGCGAATTGATTGGGTTGGGTGATGAGGGAAGCTCTCGATCGATAGAGAGATCGGTGGCGACAGATTCGGACACGGTGGATAATTAGACGACGGTTTAACGAAGTGTTTGTAACGAGTTTATTATAACGAAAACCGATCGATCCGTATCAAAGGATTTTATAGAAAGGGTGTTATTATATGGAATTGTATTTCGAAAGAATATCGAATTTCTTAATAGTTTCGAGCAATTGTAAAGCAACACAAGGAACGAAAGGAGGATTAATCATCTCTCTCTCGTCTATCGACCGATTGAAAGGGATATATTCAAAGAAACTGTGTTCGTCTCGCCAAAAACCCTCGAGAAACTTAAGAAAATGGTCCGTCTCTACATCCCTCCCCTCCTTTTCTGTTTCATCGTTCATCGTCAACGAATGTTTCTTCACAAGTTGAAGCTTGTCGGGGATGCTTTTGGGGATCGTGGCAAATTGCCGGTATGCTCGTGCGGGTTGGCTCTGCGGCGAGAGGACCGCGTCACCCTCCATCAGAGCGAAACTGCTCGCGAAAGAGCAGTCTCAGCCTATTCGATTCCTGGAGAGAACGCGTCGAGAGCCAGACGCTCGCCTCGCCTCCATTTCTCCATTCGCTTCCTCTTTCGAGCTCAAATCCTCTATGGTGTCTCAACTCCTCTTGCTTAAACTCGCCTCTTTTCAATATTTCTCCTTCCTTTCTTAAGAATTACTTTTCCTTCGATCTTTTATCACGGACATTTTTTCCTCGTGATTCTCCGTTTTTCAAGAAGAAGCAGAAGAAGAAGAAGAAGAAGAAGGAGGAGGAGGAGGAAATGCTGTTCCTCTTGTTCTTCGCTCCCTCTTTCTTTCTTCTTACTACTCGATTCTTACTACTATATTTTAGCAGCTCTTTTTTCCATTTCCTTTCCAAGCTTCAATCAGCGCTGGCAACTCTGTCGAGCCACGTCGTTTTATCAGTCAAACCATTCCAGTCGTCGATCCCGTCGTGTTTCTTCCCTTACATCTCCTTTTTATTAACCATCCCACTTTTCATCTTTCCACCCTTTGTAGAAATTTCTGTTTCTATCCTCTGTTTATCCGTCCATCATTGAGAAACTCGGCTATTAATTCCGCTGCATTTCATCCCTATGAAATTCTTACTACTTTCCCGGCCAATTTAATCTCTCCCTTTCATCCCTTTTCTTTTAATTATTCCACACTTTGTAACTCCTCGTTCCCTCCTTCCCTTTTTCCTCCTCGCCCTTTCGAGATCGATGTCTTTCGTCCTCGATTAAATTTTAAATTTATCTCGCACGGAAGTGAATTACGCGTAATAACATCCGAGCAACAAATTTCGCAACAAATTTCGATCCATAAACCATTCGTTTATCACTATACACGCAAAAATATACATGGGATAGAAAATTAGAAACGATAGTGGCATTCGAACGAACCTCGAACGAACGCGGATCCATCTTCGTGCGCACGGGGCTTTCACCCTCGATCCTCGGTTTTCGAGGGACGAAACGAGCGGGATCACTCACCTGAAGACAGTGTCTCCTCGCGAGCCAGCCAATGTGCTGAAGCTGCGGCGGATCCGGAAGCGCGGACGCCAGTCGCAGTGCCTTGAGCGTGAGAGCTGCCAGTGCCGAGTGCAGAGCGTTGAACCACACGTTCGCCTCCGCGTTATCCGCGGCTCTCAACCAGCACTCGTGCACTCCATCCGGGGAATGAAGTTCCAGGATTCGACCCTCTGAAAATGGAAGAGCCGCGTGGCGTTAAAAAATCGTTCCCTCTCTCGTGAAATATTTCTTTTATTTCATTTATCAACGCGCCAACTGACACAATTTATCCCGAGAAACGTTCCGCTTGAGATATTACAAGGAATAAATTTCACGGCTTTTCTCTCTCTCTC